TTAGCACTTTTATCTGCATATTCGTAATCGATTCGAGGCTCTACTCGAAGTGGCTAGGTCTCCATTACAACAGCTTCCATGGGAAGTATCAAACATTTCCCTGTCAGCCTGCGCCAGAAGCGTATGTTTAAAGGCAAATGGTACGCTCAACACATTGAGGGTTTATGAGACTAACAGCCCCCCAGCTGTCGATGTTGTCGTGGTTTCCCGCTGAAACTGCACGCGGGTGAGTACGGACCGTGGGAAAGGGCTTATTCCTTGCTACACGCCCAAAATGCAACTTTGCCGCCGCGCCCGTTGCCGTGAATTTTGGGAGGTTGTAGCAAGGAAGTAGCCTTCCCACGGTTCCCGTACTAGGACCCCCTTGCAGTTTCGGGCGGGGAAACCACGACACATCGACAGCTGGGGGGCCTGTTAGTCTCATACACCCTCAATGCTGTTTGAGCGTACCATGTGTCTTAAGGTTAGAATGGTTGTTGTTTAATTGTTCTAAATCACTACAAACCGGACAACAAAACATTAACTTGACCTATGTGCAATGCTCAGGAGCTATGTGAGCTAACAAGGCAGGTCTTTCAGGTCATGGCGCGCTTTTTAGAAATTGTTTGTTACATGTTGTAGGGGTTCATATGAGGGTCGCAAAAATGGGTTTTCGTTTTTGCTATGCGGTTTATAGAATGCCAAAAATGACGTGAAAACAATTGATAAGAAAGGGCGATTTTAACCGGCTCATTGGACTCTGTTGTTTGCTGCAATTGAGAGTGCATAGTTTATGAGGTGTTCCTTAACTATGTATGAAGAGGAGAGCCAAATAAAGTCAGATCAGTGGTCGTCCCAAAACCTGGAGGCCAACTAAGAATACGCGGAGGCTATAAGATAAAGTAAATCTGCAATAAGGTATTTACCAGTATCCGCTGTCCAAGCCACAATTATTTTTCTCCCCATGTCAAACGTTGGACAAAAGTTTGCGAAATCGCTCCTTTATGAAGCATACCTGGAGGTCGAACTGGGCAAAGAATCCAGGAAAATATACTACTATGAACACACAGAAAGGATTGTGAGTGTTATAGGATAGCTTTTAGAGTAGCATCCACATCATCTATTTTCCAGAAGATAATGCGAAACAACGTTAGCTGGAAATACTGGGATAGTTATTCATTTAAATGATACAAGAATTACCAGGCCAGGTGATAAGATCCACTTCGAAGGACTTCAAAGTGTCTGCCAATAATTAAAGGCAGGGATTCCGCTTGAAGCGAAGTAAATGCGAGTTCTTAAAGACACACATGGAATTTTCGGATAATTAGATGCCCAAGGTATCACACCATATATATAATTCGCTTTGTATGTATGTTTGTTTGTTTGTAAGTTTGTAAGTTTGTCAGTTTGTAAGTTGTAAGTTTTGTAGTTTGTCTGTCCGGAAATTCGGTTCGACCTGAAGAACGACTTTGGGAGAGCGTCCATTTAAGGTGGGGATAGGTAGGGGCATGGGGACAAGAAATAAAAAGCAACTTGACGATGGAAGCCCCGGCAATCTCTCTCTTTGCTCCGAAGACCGGGATAAAGTGATTTCAGATCAGCAAGGGGTCGCCGATTGAGATGTGGGGTGGACATATTGTGGGCGGGGCCTGCTCCGAGGTGGGCGGAATCAGACGAAGAATCTGTCAAATAGCTCAAGAGTACTTCAGACACCGGAAAAAAGCGGAGTACAGAATAAAAGGGGATATCAGTTGAATCTAGAAATATGTGAAAGAAAGCACGCGCGGCGAAGCCGCGCCCGCCCGTAGCAGCCGGGCCGTATCAGAAGGAGCCGCGCCGGCGTCAGCCGGCGAGGCGACTGGTAAGGTAATAGGGTAGAGGGTGAAGAGGTTGCCTGCACCTGAGAATATCGAAGAACTGTAATTGTTTCTTGATATGGTACAATAATAATATGGTGAACGTATACCAATTTTTCAACGTTATCCGCGCCGCTGAACACTTTGAGGAAAAAAGGGCTGGGATGTCGTTGGAACGAAGAGCTCCAAAAGGCGTTCGAGGAAAGAAAAGATTAATCAAAATGGGTGTGCCTGCACACTACAACCCGACGTGCCGTGGTACTAGCCACAGGCTAGAAACAGTTGTCTATCACAAGCATAAGGATGGCAAAGGAAAAGTAACTGCTTGTGCCTCTCGCTCTTTTAACTAAAGAAGTAAGGAACTACGCACAAATGGAAACGGAGGCGTTGGGCATGTTTATGGCGTTGAATTATTCAATCAATTCGTGTATAGGAGGCTTACGTTGTTAAGAGATCACCAGCCGTCGGTGAGTATTCGATCCAAAACATAGATGACCCACGGAAAAAGGCAAAGATGCCGCATTGGTGGAGTGCGACTGGGATTATATCTTTGTTGTAGAGTATCGAAAACCGGTGGAGTTCGGTAACGGGACGGGTTGTCGCGGTTACCCGATCCTCGTGAATTACCAAGTGCAGCAGCAGTCATCAGTGAGCTCCATTTGAGAGCTATGAATTAGGAAGTTCATAAGAATCTCCATTTATCAGAGGAAGAAGTAGCAAAAACGACAGCAGAAGACCTAGGGCTTGCTCAAGTCTCACATTATGTTGTGAATGGCTGACCTCCCAAGGTGCGATGAAGCTACATGCTTTTGAGTCATAGTACCTCCGAATTTCAGGGCGAAGATATTGCGAACGCTGCATAGTAGCCATTATGGCAGGAATTGGATTGTAAATCGATAGTAAAGTCGATACATGGTAGCGGCGAATTGATAGACACACACTCGAGTTGGCCGAGCTGTGCGAAACATTTGTCGGATAATGATTCCTCAGAAACACCATTGCACTTGTGGGAAGAACCCGCAAAACAATAGCAAGGGTTGCACATGGGTTTTTGCGAAACACTGGGTTGAGAGAAACGGCTGATCTAATTAGTAGAAGCCGCCAAATCCAAGTGTAGTGATCCGCGTGGGCCCCACTACAGCCGAGAAAACTAGAAAAGTGACGAGTAATTTTTGCATGACACGGGCTGCCAGAGCAGATTGATCCGATGATGGATCGCCATTTTCTTAAGAATTTTTACGAGGGAACGAATGTCGAATTGACCCTGATCTCGGCATATCCCCGCACTCAAAAGACGAAGCGGAAGGGCTCGTACAGTCCTCTAAAAAGGAGTGGTATAAAGGTTTGCGAGATGGCCGAGAAGCATATTAGCAGGATTGCTGTTTGGCTAAACGGTGATCCCGCATCCGGTAGTCTCCGGCGGGGAGGCGGAGATCCTAATGGGAAGAAAACTTCGAGCGATATAAGACAGCCATAAAACGAGAAACTACAAGACTAGTAACAGTCCTTGTAGAGAGCGTATGATAGCCGACTATGACAAAAGGGGGAGAAAAGAAAGAAGTCTCACAATTGGCCAGCAAGTATATATTCGTAATTATAAAGAAGTACCAGTGGATTCCAGGGGTCATCACTCAAGTACTGGGTCGTCGAATGTATGACGTCTTTTTGGAATAGGAAATCGTAAAGCATATGCAGTTCGGTAAAAAGGGAGTTCAGACCTGGATGGCGAAACTACTAGGTTGGCGGGAATGTTGCTGTAATTGTAGTTGTAATTGTAATTGTTTATTACACAGTTAACCCTGTGTGGTGTCCATAAGATGAAGAAAAAAAAAAAAAAAAAAACCCACAACACAAAACAATATTAGAAATCAACTAAACAGACACACAGTGCTACTAGAACCCAGTGCGTACGATTAAACCCATCAGAATTCAAGAGTGCATGCGAACAAAACTGGTAAAAAGAGAAAAATCATGCGTCCCAAGAGGAAAATAGTAAATAGCAGTAAGATGAACGATGCTTGCAAAGGTATTATGATGTAAGATGTTTGTCTAAAGCAGCCTTAAAAGCGCTCAGTTCACTCGTGGTTACTCCCAAGCGTACCAGTCTGTTGAACTCTGGGACTTTCCTGTTAGTAAAAAAGGGATGCTAATATTCCTCTTACATTGATGAATGATCAGCTTTCTAGAGCTACCTCTGGTAATTGACCCTCTGACAGCAAAAAGAGTGGAGGGTCTGATACCAGTGCGTAGGTGAAGAATCTTGTAGAGAAAGATTAGGTCAATTTTTTTTTCTCCTGAGAGCTAGGGTCTCCATGTTGAGGTTTAGATTCCGCACTCCACTGGCAGGTATTTGTTTGCACTTGAATCCCACCAAGAAAACCTTTCTGCTAAGGTTATTTTGTACCCTTTCTGAGGCATTTATACTTTTCCTCTTATTCAGATTAAGAACTACGGTCCCGTACTCCAAGAAAGGTCTAATGTATGACTTGTATGCTTTACATAATACGAGGGAATCCCTAGTTAGGAGTGACCTGAACACGTTACCTAAAACAACAGTTGCTTAGCTGCAATTTGCGGACAGTGTGCATCAGAGGTTAGATCACTGCGAATAAGGAAACCTAGGTCCCTGATTTGTTCAACCTCATTTAGACATACCCCTTGAATCGACGGCGACGAGCTATCAATTTTCCCTATGCGTAGCACCTTGGTTTTCTCACTAGATAGCGGTGAGCCCCATTGCTTGGCCCACATGCTGACTTTATTGATGACTGCTTGCAACAGCACCTTGTCCGAGTCAGATGAGATCGAGTGATATATTTTGAGGTCATCGGCAAAAGCAACGCACTTGACTCCTCTAGAGGCTATAAGACGAGGCAATTCAAATCTAAATATGTTGAAAAGAAGAGGTGACAAAACGCCTCCTTGCGGCAGGCCGCTGAGCACTGGCCTAGGTTCGGAAAACTCCGCATTGACGCGCACAACATAGACTATCATAAGATTCTATCCACTTAACAATTCTGGGATAAACTCTGACTATTTTAAGTTTAGCTATGAGTTAGTTTACAGTGAGACGATGTCATTATCAAGATATATTGACCAATCATTGAGAGTCTGGAGCATGCCCGTTACAGTTGGTTTCCCTTTCTGGAAGCTGTGCTGGTTTTCGGAGATTATTTCATACTGCTCCAAATGTGTCGTGAGTCTCTTTTTCAAAACTTTCTCGAACAATCTGGCGAATATTGAGGTTATACTGACCGGTCTGAAGTTATACGGACAGGTATGAGGCGGCTTCTAGGGATTGGAGTCACGAATGAAACGCGCCACCTTGCTGGCACTTCAGCTCTCATCAAACTTGAAGAGGAAGGCCAGTGGTCCACATACTATGTGCGCTACCTTTTTGATGAATACCAGAGGGGCATGATCAGGTGTATCCGAACAGGATCTGGGCCATCGAATCAGTAACTTGTATGTTTCTTCCTCGAACCAAAGGGAATCTTCTATCAGCGGAAACGATGGTATGGCATCTAGCACTAAAGAGTCATCTCCTTTCTGGAAGGACTCCGCAAAGACATCAGCCAGAAGCTCAGCTTTGTCCCGATCTTTGCATACTGCAATCCCATCCTCCTTGAGAAGAACCCCTGAACCTCTGCTTTTCCTCAGCCTGGAATTGAGTCGTTTATAAAAAGCGTTCTTATTCTTGGAGAAGATAACCTTTCTTTTAACATGATTGTAATACTTGCTCAGCCTTTTCTCGAAAGTATCTCTCAATTTGTTGTATTCGTCCCAATCTGCTTGGTTACCACTCTATAGAGCCTTAGCCCAAGCTACATTCTTTTTGCGGTTAGATCTAATCAAGTGAGGTGGAAGCTTTACTCCAGTAGTCTTTTGAGGCTTTGAGGCCACCTGTATCACCTGTGCTCCCGTCGATCATCGAGTTCCTCGAACGGGCGCAGTAACGTCTCCATTCGTCCCTGCAACGTGCAAGAGTTGCCCAATGAACTCTCTCGGCTCGAGAGACACGATGAACTTCATACCATTCGTTCAGAGCTTTCACGAAGAAATCTGACCATAGCGTGGGCGGTCCTCCAGGCGTTCGCTTGACATCCCGTGGAATCCAGTCGGTGATTGCTCTGGTCCAGCGGTCGTCCTCGAAACGCATGGCGTGTCCACCCACCTGATCTTCGAAACCTTGCCAAATGCGGCGGCGTCTCTGATGTTCGATCGCTGGCGGAGTGCGGAGCTCCGGATTCCCTCTCTCAATTGCGTGTAGCGGGAAACTGCGAGCGTCCCTCTTTCTATAGCGTGTTGAACGACGCTAACCGCATGCTCATCCTGCTTTCGTAGAATCCAAGTCCCTGAAGCGTGTGTTACAGCAGGAAGGACCGCGGAATCGAAGAGGTGGGTGGGAGTTGGTGTTCTTCGTCTTCTTCGCTTCTCCCTCGATGTTCTTGAAGGCTCCCCAAGCCGCTCGCTTGCTCCTGCTCAGCTCTGGAGCTAGGTCATTCATCATATTGATTTCACGACCTAGGTGCACATAGCTAGAGCATTCAGAGATGGTCGTTCCGTTGAGCCTGAACGGGGCATCAGATACCAATCCGTTTCTCATGAACATCGTCTTCGTTAGGTTCAGCCGTAGACCAAATTCTTCCACACGCGCAGTCGAATTCAGCCAGCATTCGTTCCGCTTGCTCGATGTTTGGCGTTTCAAAAACGATGTCGTCAGCGAAGCGGAGGATGGGTCGCCTCGTCGATCTTCACTCCCATGTCTTCCCATTCCAGTTGACGCATGATCCGTTCTCGAGAGAGGGCCGCTGAGACTTGGGCGAGATGGTGTCGCCCTGCGCGACCCCTCTCTTCACATCAATGATGATCTCCTTGTTAGAATGGTGAAATCTTGGTCGTGAAGTTGCTGTAGAGCTCACGAAGAATCCTGATGTACTGAGTAGGAATACCCTGCTTGCCCAGGGCTTCGATTAACCGCTTCTGTCTCAACGCGAGTCGAAGCTTTCTTCAAGTTCGATAAACGTGAGACACAAGGGCATCTTTGTACTCTCGCGATACTTCAATGAGCTTCGTTACCGGGTGTGGATGTGATCGATCCGTGCTGAATCCTCTTCGAAAACCTCGTGTGCTCGCATGCTGCTTCCTTCGTCTAGTGTTCTGCCAATCCTGTTCAGGATGACTCGCTGCTGAAAAAGTTTGTAGACTAATACCAGTGTCGTTACAGGCCTCCCTTCTTGTACAGAACAAGTCTGCTGTTTTCCACGAGGTGGTACCTTGCATTCCGACAGGTAGCGCGTGAAGCAGTCGAGCCAGAGTTTTGACAAGAACTGGCGGAAGATTCTTCAGATGTTCAGGTCTGATCCTGTCGGACCAGGTGCCGTACGATTCTTCACCGACGAGATGACGTGTCGGACTTCGGAAGAGAGAACTGCCAGGCAACGACATATCCATCCTGCTCAAAGCGCGTATGGGTTGCAGGTGGACGTGGCTGTCAAAGAGATCCGAGTAGAAGTCCGTGAATGACCTTCTCGTTGCCCTCTGCGATGCGGTGATGTTCCATCCGGACGTCGGAGGGCCGCGTCATCTTACGTCTTACAGTTCCCGAAGTCGCGGCAGCGTTGCGCTACGCTCTTCCCAGCCTCTGCGGCTCTCCACCAGCTACTGCTATTCTTCTCTCCTTGAGGTCTTCCTTTATCGCTTTCTCTGCATAGCTTCGCCAAGCTCAGACTCAGCTCGGTAATTGCCTGCGGCTCGTGCGGCTCCACGTTGGCGAATC